CTCTCATCGTCACCGTCGTCGCTGTTGTCGCTCTTGCCATCGTCGGTGGGAGGCTCCTCAGCGCCGGAATCAGATGGATTCGACCCATCGGACGTAACTGCCGAGCTCTTCCCCTTCTTTGATATCTGTGCCCTCTTTGCCTTCTTTGCCGGATTCTTTGTACTTTTCCCAGCCTTTCGCTTGTGTCGTGTTTTCAAGTCCGCGGAGTGGGAAGTCGGGGCAGAGGGCATAGGCAAGGGTGTCGGTGACGGCGGGGTAGATGGAGGCGGAGAGTCTGAAGCGAATGACGTTGATGGTCCTGCAGTGGGGGGTTCAGCGGATGGAATGAGTGCGCGTGCGCGTTGCTGTTCCGTAGCTTGTAGATAGTTAGCAATGACAAAAGAACATGCGATAGGAGACTTACTGTAACAGGTCGAAACAAAACCCAAAAACGCTCGCTTAGCGACATCCCACTTCTCCTTCTCGGCGAAGGGCCAAAGCTTTGGTGACGGTGCGAGGTTACAACCATGGTGGATACTAGTCAAAGCTCAATCGCGTGAATGTTTCGTGATGAAAACACAACGTACCCAATTATGTTCAGCTGACCCTTTTTCTTCGGCTCAGGTCCCCCAATCAACACCAACAAGTTCATGCCGATCGCCTCTCCTATGATCTGAATGAGCGGTCCCAAAAGGTTAGGAAGGCGATCAAGAACTCTGAAGAGTATCAGTCGGCGCGAGCCAGCCGTTGTCAAATTAAATGTACATACTCTTGAGCAGCCTCAGGATCCATCAGCCCCTCCTCTCCCTCCAAATTTTCGAGGCGCTTCTTGTGTTCAAGATGTTCCTGCTGTACTATCTCCTCCCAGCGCTGGCGTTCGGCATCGTCGAGTCGTTTGAATGCCGCCATTTTGAACTCATTGTGAGCAGAGGCAAGTAAGTTTTTGGGTTTTCCGCTCTGCTTGAACTCCGCGTCGAAGGTGGCTTTCATTTCAGGAAAGTGCACCTTGGTCCATGCCTCCCATGGCGCGCT